GGGGACTTCCTATGATGCACTGAGCTCCTTTCTGTTCTTTCTGTCCCTCTGTATGCAACCTCATAACATAAATGCATGTTACTAACTCGACTTCTCCCCTTTCCTGTAGTCTTGTGCTTTCTCGTCCCTCTCCTCTCTCCTCCTATCACTTCCTGCAGGTGTTTCTGGCTCTGGAGCTGTGGAGTCTGTGGTTATGAGTCACCTGATGCCCCCGTGTTCCTGCTCGACACCCTCTGCTACAATTATTGATACTAGTCCTGTGGTAAGTATTATCATTAACATTACGATTATTATCATTAACACTATAAATATCTGTACCATTATTCATTCAGGCTATAGCAACATCACCTTTACTGTCTGTACCTCTGTGTGTATATTATGTAGGCTGCCTCCCTCCCTCTCGCTCTCTCTCTCTCTCACCCTGAGCCATGGTTCTGCTCGAGGTTTCTGCCTCTTAAAAGGAAGTTTTTCCTTGCCTCTGTTGCCTAGTGCTTGCTCTTGGTGCGAATTGTTGGGTTTCTGTAAATAACATCATAGAGTGGTCTAGACCTGCTCTTTTATGAAAAGTGCTCTGAGATAACTGTTGTTGTGATTTGGTGCTATAAAAAAAAAATTAATTGAAAATTGAATTGAATTTTATGTGTGCAGTTTTGTAAGTGTGAAGATCACATTACACCAGCTTTAGCTTCTCTCTAATTGGCTCCCAGTCACACATTTTATTCTTGGCATACAAGCCATTACATGGCTTCTTTACATGTTTGCTTTTCTGGCTGCAGGTCAGACTGAAGTGAGCTAAGAGCCAGTGTCTGTTTGAGCTATGGACTACACATTTGAAAATGAAGAAAACAAAATCCTGGTTTATGGAGAAAGAAAGAAGTGAGTTAACAGACCTCTGTAGCCTGCTCCTCATCTCCTCTTGAGGCTAGGGTTTCAAAGTTACATTAGCCAAAACTATAGCCAAATCTTCAGTCCAACTGTCAGTGGTCAAGTGGCATTGTTGGTAATGTCGGTGATAGGTTTTGACAAAGAATTTGTAGAATAAAAAAAAGACAAAATCTCTGGTTCTGCTGCATTAATTTTGACTGTCTATTGTTAGTCCAAGAGTGTCATAGAAGTACAATGCTAAATTGTTGTTAAATTATAACATTATTTAATTATAATTAAAGTCTTGAAGCAAGGATTACCACAAGTGAAAATTAGATGTTTATCAGGAAAGACCACAAGGGAACAAGCGCAGAAGCTTTATTCAATCAAAAGAATTTGGCATGTTGGCCCTATCGATTAGATAGTAAATTTGGGGACAGGATACTATAAATAGCAGCCAAACTGTGCCATAAAGGCGACAATGACACTGTTGGTGGCAGGGTGACGAAGACTATAATGACGACAGATAGACAAAACTAGGGGTTGTTTAAGGGACATTTTGCGAAATAAACTTATTCTCTTTCTTGCCAAGTGTGGATGAGAAGAGGCTACCACTATTATATCTGTGTGTGTTAATATTAAGCTACAGCCAGCAGCTGGTTGGCTAATTAACACTCTCTCTCCATATATAGCTCATCTTAATTCATTAAAAATATAAGTGTAAAGATGTTGTTTTATTGGAAGTTATGCTGCCTGGCAACCTTAAGGGCCAAGAAATACACTGAACAAAATGATAAACGCAGCACTTTTGTTTTTGCCCCCATTCATCATGATATTTCTCTCAAATATTGTTCATAAATCTGTCAAAATCTTTGTTAGTGAGCACTTCTTGCCAAGATAATCCATCCACCTCACAGGTGTGGCGTATCAAGATGCTGATCAGACAGCATGGGTATTGCACAGATATGCTTTAGGCTGGCTGAATCACTGAATCACTCTGGAAAAAAGGTCAAATCGGAAGTCATTAAGCATCTGATGTACATACAATGTAGAAATATATACATATCGGTCTACTAGCTGATAAAATTGACATTTAAAGAGGTGGTATTATGCTTTTTGGCTTTTCCTCCCTCCCTGAGTTATATCTATTTTTGGCATGTAACAAGTTTGCAAAGTGAAAAAGCCCAAAGTCCAGCCCAAAGGGAGTTCCCATCTCCCACAGAAAACTCTGAACTGCTTGAAAACAGCTCGTTTGTAGTCCAGCCCTTCACTTCCTTTACTTGTGATGTCACAATGAAAACGCGTCATAAAGCTTGCCAAGCAGCTAGTGGGGTCAGACACGCCCTCAAACCAAGCTAGTCTGAGCAGAGGCCCTTTGGCTCGACTCGCCTTTGTTTGGTTTTCCATTGTAGAAATGTGGCACCTGTACCTGCTTCCAGGTACTTTTTTACGTATCACCTCACCTGCATCACCGTTGCAGCAACAACGGCAAAGGAAAACACAGCTGGAAGGTTTTCATACCGATTATCTGTCTAATGTTTTAACCGTAGACTGTATATATTTTAAAAGCTGTGTGGATTGCTGGTGTGTGTGTCGCATTGAACATTACGTCGCGGCAGTTGTGTGTGGCGTCGCTATGACAACAAGCTACGTACTATCTCTGGGTACTGTCTGCAATGGAAAACTGAGCAGGGCCGAGTACAGTCGTGTCTATCGATTTGCGCTATGGTAGCATTTTTCGGCAAGGCAGCATAGATCGTCAGAACACCGGCAACAACAATGTTTAGTCCTGATGGTAAGATGTGGAACAATGATGTTGTGGTTGTGGACTTGTGAGTAACTTATACCATCTGCTAGGTTACGGTCGCAGTCTGAAGCGGCTTTGATTTGGATCACACTACCTTGTTTCTTACGACCCGCCCTTCTCTGCTTCTGATTGGCTCCTTACCTGGGAACTGCGCATGTGCAACTCCCAACAAAGATTTTCTACAAGTAAGATGCATCACTCTGTAGCTCAAGAGCGGAGCGTACAACACACAGGGTGAAAAGCGGAGCTGCAGCAATGTGCAGTATGAGAAAAATATGGTGTTGAATGAAAATTAAACCATGCAAACCTGTTCTGATACAACCCCCTAAATAAGATTTTGAACCTGAAAATGAGCATAATACCACCTCTTTAAAGCAACACACTCCAGACAACAGAGGCTTTTATGCAATTATGAGAGAATTTGCAAACCATCTTAATCTGTCTCTGAATAGGTATTTTCTTTGTATAGATAAGGTTGCATGCACTGCCAGCATTTTCACAGAAGGAGCAAAGCTGCTGGATGAGCAGCGCACTATTGGACTGGGAGGAAACGATGACGTCAGGACCAGCAGGCGGATTTAAGTTAGAGGAGACACTGGGTGGTGCTCAAGGTTGCCTTCAAGGAGAAGGCCTTTCAAGCCTGTTCCAAATGTTAACTGGAATTATATTAATCAAGTTGTCATTCAACGAATATTCTCTACTTCTTAGTAATTAAACCTGATCAGCCTTTTATTAAAAATGCTGCAAACCAGCAGCATGGGGTGGACTACGTTTTAAGACATTATTGAGGAATCCAGCTTATATCCTAAAAGTGAAGAGACATGAGAAAACCAAACATCTTTATTGAGAGGAACAAAAAAACAAAAGAATATTTAATTCCACGTAAAGTATGTCAAGAAAAGGTTATCGATTAAACGCAAAATGGCAGGCTTTCACTTTTTCTTAGAGCAGCACTGTTCTAATAATTGTTTTGCTATGTATAGGTATAAAATGGTTCTATAATGTATTACTACTGAAAAACCAAAAAACACCCAAAAAAGCTCTTTTTCTACGGCTCTCTCTTTTTGCCGGGTCAGCAACTTTAAGAACACACTTGTGTCACTTATTCTCACAACTGGACCTATTGATTTAATAACTCAAACAATACCAAAAGTAGTAATAGAAGTTTTTGCAAGGTTTCCCTCCTTTTTTCAGGACAATAATTCCTCCAGCTTCCTTCAGAGTGCTGCTGCATCTGCAGTCTTAGTCGATCTACTGTTGCCTGGTAGGGGCAGGGCAGACTTGTTTGGCAAACCTGTGGTGTCTACTGAATTTGTGCATTTGTGGATGTCAGACAAGCTTCTGTTACATAATAAATTAAGCTTCACGACTTTGTAAGGGCCCATATTGAGTTTCTCCAGACTGCATTGTGTGCTGCCCTATTAAGGGCAGCACACAACCTTAAATGCTTCATTGCGCTTCTTGTGTTAATGAAGACCGAGGATGCAAGGCCACCTCGGGTAGCCCCTCGACCTTTCACTTGAGTGTTTGACGAAGTGGACTGGTGTAATCTGTTGCTCAGATGCTTTTCGAATGAAACATTAGTGCCCTCAGTGTCACTTCAGCAAAGAGCTCTCAATTTTAGATATATTTAAGTGTGATAAAACTCATTTTCAAGAATCTACAAGTTTGAGTTATCTGGATCAACTTTTCTAACTTGTAATCTGTTAAAGTACTGAAGACAGTGCTGCCCTAACTTAAAGTTTCATTTTGAATGGGGAATTTCATCTGTAAACATTAGGGGTGACATGTAGCTGTTCTAAAGAAAAGGAACCAGCAGAGTCCTGTTCTTTGGTAATCAGGGTGCATTTGTTATTTCAAGTGAGTCAGTAAAGTTTTCCCTAGGACTGATTACAACTAACGTAATTCACAGGCAGCTCAATATTTTTCCAACTAGTAGGCATCCCATTCCAGATGACATGCCAAACCAGGAGCCATTAAGCATCTAATGGCTGAATAATGAAACCCTATCTATACAAAGACCAATTCAGTGAAATTCAAATAGCTTGCAAATGCTGTCATAGTTGCATAAAAGCCTCTGTTGCCTGCAGTGTGTTGAGTTAATTAATGCCCGTTTTATCTGCTAGTTAAAGTGACTTCACAGTATTCTTTGAAATGCACAGGCCATAATGTGACTGAAAGTCAGTCTCAGAGCCTGCAGGGCTGACGTCATTTAATGTCCCAGACCAGCATTTTCATTTCAGAACAGAAAAGCTAACGAGCAGTATGTTGTTGGACTGGGAAGGGACGACAACAGTTCAGCTTGCTTCTTAAATTAAGAGACATGTGGAAACAGGATAATGTCTTTATTAAGCTTTTAGGACAAAGACACTTAAGTGATGCATCTTTTGTACAAAGTGCTGCAGTTGAGTGATTCAGACATTTACATCCATAGCATGACTATATTGTTAGTACAAATGGTATAAAGAAAGTTGATTAGATGTGAAATATTAAGCTTCCTTAGAACCTTGGTCCTCCTCGCTGCTCTTATCAAAGTCTTCGAAGAACTCATTGCAGGCAACAGTCAGTGCAGCAACCAGAACGACAAACTCCTGGAAATCTACTTGACCGTCCTGGTTTTCATCCAGGTCCTTCATAATCTTCTCAACCACCATGGGGTCCTTGCTGGCCTAAAAAAAAAACAAATAAAAAAAAAAAAACACACCAAACGTGACGAAAATTGAAGTAAAGAGCAATGTGTTTCACAAGATCAAAGTCTCCAGACTTGTCGTACGCCTCTCCACAGGGGAACACTTGATTTTAGAATCATAATGCTGTAAACTTAATTTGAATCCTCATGAAACTGAAATTAACTAAAAGCAAAATGAGCATTCTCTTCATCAAGTCTAGAGAAAAGTTTGATTTTATTGGCCCATTTTGGAACAGCAGCTTAAACATGTTAGTAGGGGCCAGGAGAATTCTTAGGGTCTTTTAGCAGGTCACTGTCCAGTATACTCTTTTGTTGCATCCAGCAGTAGCATCACCTACTAAAGATTATGGCCCAGTACAGTCTTAATTTCCACCCTAAATCCTCAAACTTGGTTGACATCACTTGAAGTGGTACAGCACTTTGTAACTTTATGTGATGAGATCACCTGCAGGCACATTTGTCTCTGTGAGGCTATACAGCTTCCTTTGGCTGAAGGTGTAGATTCTGCCCTCTAGCCTTCTCCCCTTCGCATACTGAATGGAAATAAAGCCTGGTCAAACCAGAAGGTGCACAGCAAGTTGAGTCACATGCTCTCCAAATATTTTGCTTCTTATAGCTTGGGACACGACTCATCACTAAGTTGATGAAACACCAACTGGGAAGCTAACCGCCAACACTCCCCCACCCCACTCACAAACCCTGAATTAGACAGACTAGTTTCAAATGTGCCATGTCTGCTCTCAAAGTGCAAGACCTCATTTCATGAGGAGTACTGCCCAGCTTTCCCTGAGCTCATTGGCTAAGAACTTTATTAAAATTTTAATTCTTATTTTTAATTTCTAAGTTGATTCAACTAGTGTTTTGTACTGTAATGATTTATTCAGTTAATGAAATAAATGCCGTGATTGGCAACTTTTAACAGCCCAGTAAAACTGAATACCAGACTAAACCGCAATACCTTACTGGTTTGTAATTTTTATGTTGTATAGTAGTTTACTCACGAGACCCAACCCTCCCCCAGTGCCTCAATGTATTGATAAAACTAACCAAAACAAAGCATCTAAAGTGATGCAGTGCCATACAGGCTAAAATGGCATATTAGGAAAATACAGCTTTTCCCAAAAACAGCATGTATGAACTTTGGCAAGTCCAACGACAGGCGTACCGAACCTTAAATGTGTTACAAGTTATGTAACAAATGTCACATGGTAAACATTGTTAAACAGTCGTAGTTTTGGTTACATTTAAGATCACCTTTTTGGGTTACAATAAGTACATTTAGTCAGTCACAGAACTAATGTTAAACTTAACATGTCAACTTTGACTCACATGGGACTCAAACTTTGGTCTCTTGAGTGAAAGTCCTGAGTTTACCTTATGGGTCTTAATAGACAGTTTTTCCTGTTAAGGATAGGCTGTTATATAGTTACTCACTGCCATGAAGTCTGCGAGTTCTCCCTGTAACAGGCTCTTCAGCTCGGCTTTGCTCAGCTTGTACTTGTCGCCTTCTTTTCCAGAATATGAGTGGAACACTGTGATGAGGTTCTCCATAGCGGTTTGCAGTTGGGAACACATTTCAGTCCTACAATTGATGTCTGGAATAAAAAAAAAAAAAAAAAAACAACCAAGGAGTCACAATTAACATTACAGACAGTTAAACACAATTTTATTACCGGACTAGTTTTAAAGGTCATCAGGAAAATGTCATTTCAGCAGTTGTGGATTTTCACTAGTAAAAGGGAGGATAAATCATTGAAAAGACAAGCAAGATCAATCACAGAGTTCGATTCAGATCTGAATGCAGAGGATGAGCAGCATCCATCAGCTCTGGTGCAGAAGAAATCCTGGAGTGCAAGATAAGATTACTTTTCAACGTCAGTGTGTTGGAGGGCAGCGGCTGAGATGTTTCAGTAAAGTTTTATACTAGTGCACAACAGATTTTCCTCAGAGCAAAAACAAAAAATGTAAAGGAAAATACAAGACCTTCTGCAGATTTAAATTTCACCCCAGAATGTGCCCCCCCCCCCATTGCTTCTCTGCAAACTGCACCAGGGTTTCATCTCAATTATGTTTTAGATTCATCACCTGTCAAATCATTGACTTCTGTCAGTAGAGGACACAATTTAAATTTTATTCAGTGCAGGAAAACAAATTGTTTCAATATATCTCAAGCTTGGCTTATTCCATAGAGTCTCACTTCTGAAAGCATTTTTAAAAGTTTACATAAAAAGGAAACACTGAACAAGTGCCTGTAACCATACAGGCTTTGTTGCAAAGAGCCATTCATCACCACTTAGCTTATAATAAAGCCTGGCTAGAGTAACAAAATCATGATATAGATCCCTCTTGACCAAGATATACAACACCATTTATATAAAACAAAAAAAGGTTTGAGGACATATCCTATGCCTTTACAAGTAACCAACCTACTGTAAATGCCAATTTCCTCATTTCTCAGCCTTCAAGTGACCTGAAAATCAATAGCCTATTATTCCTAAAAACCAACGCATGCAAGTTTAACATTACACCCACAGTTTAGATTACATTTTGCAGTTACAGATAGGCTGGTGGGTTAGTATTTAATCTGTATCTCAGCTCATAGAATGGGAGTGGAAGGAGTCCTTAGTTCCAACCTATTGTGGCCTTTCAGCTACAAACTCATTTTGATTGCACATAATATACACTAATTAGTGCCAATTATTTCCACATCCAAAAGAGCCATTTTAAATATCAAACCTCTAAACACTTAAGTGAAATATCAATACAATTCAGAGACAACTTATCTTGAGGCCAAATAAAATGCACACGAAGGAGGCTCAGGCATGACCGTCAAAACAGTTGAAATATCTAACCTTACACCTTCCTTTCACCATCAGACACCCGAGAAGCTGCTACAGGGGGCTGAGTCATTTCACCTCCATGAACCAGTGGAGAACAAAAGGACAGACCCCCTGCAGGGCACGTTGCCCATAATAGATTTAAATCCTGGTTTACTTTTTTTCCCCCCTCTCTCCTCTTTCCTTCCATGAACTAGCTATTGATAATTTCATGCTGAGGATGAACTTTAGGGGTTGGTCATAGTTAGTCTTTTTAGACTTATGATTTTTATCTATATGGAGGAGTGACGAGCTCTCATTAGTAATGCAGGGCTGCTGTATACCCGCCTGCCTGTGTGTATAACTCACTCAATCTACAGTTTCAGAACAAGACAATACTTTAATAATTTTCTGAATGATGCAGCACCACATTCCCTTAAATAGTCTCGATAATTATGCCGTTAGTCATTTATTCCCGCAGCATCAGGGAGCTAATTAAAAGGCTTTGAATGTTGAATGCAAAGCTGGTGTTAATTAACTCAGGTTGAGATTAAGCATGGAAATGTTAAAAACCAACTGCAGAGGCAATTCCACAAGAAAACAATAAAATTAATAGGCTACATTTCACCATCCTATCACCTTGCAGACCTGTCCTACCTTTAAAACATCAACCTTTTATAAATAAATAACAAACAGCAGAAACTCACCTTGACAGTGACGCTAACAGGTGCTGGTGGAAGTGGCTTCAGCTCTCATCTCATCACTTATATGGCTTCCTCTCACCTGTGTGCAAATCAGAATCAGATAGGCTCCTCCCTCCAGACAGCAGCGACATCATGTGCACAGGTGAGCTACCTGGCCATGTAAGGTAACCACAGGCGGGTGATGGCAACTGTACAGCACATTATTTATGTTTTTCTTTCTTAATAATGCAGATTATGACCATGTAGGGTTGCCATTAGGTTAAAGTACAGGAACTGTGTGTGTACAAAAGACTGTAGGCATATATTATTGGTTACAATAGGCCTACACATAAAGAGATAAAAACTCCTGATAAGTTATAATCCAATGAAGAACTAGCCCAACAAATAAGAAAACTCATTGAATTCCCTATTTCTGTTACAGTTAAAACGTAGTATTATCCCCATGAAGTAGATAAAAGATGCTTGAGAAGAGACTTCTAGATTGGCTGATATGTTACTAGGCTAAACAAAATGATACTTTATCCACCATTTAAATGAATCTGCATACTATCAATAACTAACAACTAAGGTATGGCTAATATGTTAGGCACTTGTTTGCTTACAGATTTTGAGGCCAACTGGAAACATGGTGAGGTTTTTATTCCCATGGCAACAGCATCCCATGTTTTGAACTAATTCATATAGTTTTCACGTGACGTCACATTCCAAGGAAAACACTGCCTTGGAGGTCAAAAAAGACGTTATTTTCCGCTGCCTGCCAACCAGGAAGCAAGTGATACACTATTACTCTGAGTTGGTTACTTTGCTTAAATGCTTGATGGTTGTTGCTTTCGGATGCACTAATCGAGGAGGAGACAAGCCTGGGCTGTGATAGGTGAGGGATTCACCACAAGGTAAATGTAAACATTAGCCTACCGGAGTCGAGTGGCGGCAGGGACCTGGCGGTTTTTAACGGGAGAAATGCGGCAGCGGATGCTGTAACATTATATGCATATATGTTGGTCTGTTGTTTTGCCCTCCATGTCACCGTGCACGTCACGTGACAACTTATGCACTAATAGTTATGTTGCTAGTAGTTTTGATTTAAGCATCGTGGTTATGGAATGGTATTTTAACATTTATTCAATCCAATGTAGATAGCTAAACCCTTTATCTTATCCCCCTTTCACACAGGCGACCAAAGAACAAATGCCACCTTACTAACTTGTTAAGCTGTTTGCCACCTAAATAGTTAGACAGCTGAATTTTAGGCAAATAGCTAGTGAACTAGCTGGCTTTTTAGTGCAGGTAATTTGTTTGTAAGGGCAACTAACTGGCAAAAATGGCAGCTAGCTAACTAATTTCTGTTTGTACACTGAATCATATGGCCAGCTAGATAGGGACAATGGGCAGCAGAGCCGGCTCGTGGTATAGGTGAAATAGTCTGTCACCTAGGGCGCAAAGGGACACAGGGGAAAGAAAATGTCTGCCAACTTTTGGTAATGTTGTCGTCCCTTCGTACACCCTTCATCCACCTGACCTTGATTTTTAAAATCTCTTTCTCATATATAAACCAAACAAAAGCATGCTGCGCTGTCTCATCTGGCTAGCGGTCAACATGCTTTACTGACGTGATTGAATGACACACTTTATGAGACATGTGATGGTGTGGTTGAGTTAAGTTTATGCCACAGCTAATTACACAGGGAAAGAAAAGAACAGCGAGCTGCGAGTAGCAAAAAATGACTTATGGAAAGGGATCAAAAAGACAACAGTTCAGAGTGTCATCTACTCTTTGTGTCTATGATGTTTTATTTGTGTTAGGATAATATTTCCAAAATCTCACCTATGGCACCAACAAAGTCAGGGCCGGCTATGATGGGCAGCTAGCTCCAATAATAGCTAGCAATTCAAAAAATAAATGGTCTGCCAAAATATGACGCCCTTCAAACTGTTCCTTTATGCAGAATGAGCTGACTTGTTGGTGAATATTGTTATATCATCAATCACAACATATTGTAGCGTGCGAACCTATGGCTCACTTGCACAGTAGTACTGTGCCCTGGATGTCTGAGGCCCCGGTTCACTGGTCACACTGCCCCACTGGCCCAGTGTGAAATCCAGACTGAATAAGTGGGATGATTTTAAAACAAGTTGAAACAACATCTGAATTGCTCAGTGACCAGATGTGTCTCTTATATAATAATCTTCATTATGCGTTATTAATTGCATTGCATATGTAGTTAATAATATTTGATTTGTCATAATAAAATTGTTTTTATTTAGGTCAAAATGTACAGTATGTTAATCATTTCAAATGCCTACTCAGGGAAACTGCATTGTACCAATAATACAAGAATTAGGCTGAAGCAGTCCCTTCCTTTTTCTTGCCATATCATTTCCCTGCTGCCATTTATTCTGTTCATTTTATTAGGTCTCACTTATGCTTATTAGGTGTGACTAATGCTTTCCTGCAACATCATTTGCAATTAAGGGAATGATTATGGTAGCAATACAAATGAAGTGAAGGCCAGTAAACGAAAAACTCTTCTCCTTGAATGCAAACCAATGAGGCTGATTTACATCATTATCTCCAGTTGACCGGTATAAAGGCTCTATGTATATTTGCATGGTTCTAGATAAAAATTAAACTTTAGGCCTCATTCCTTAAAACCAACAAGTACAAGGCTTGAGTTGTTCTACAGCTCCCACACAGTCCCATTAGGGACACATAATGTACTGTATGTACACAGTACATAAAGTTATATACAATGTCTGAAAATCTTCTTGATATGTAATTATGTAATTTCCCTGGTGTCAGTGGATTTAAAAAATGTCTTAAGTTGACTGCAATTATCTTAAAACAAAGAATTCAACATTTGGCCACATCATTAAAGAAAACTTGAAACTTTCAACAGAGATTATCTATTCTTGGTTTGAGGAAAGTAATAGTTAAAGATGAAACTCTTTCTTTGATATGATTAACTGAGACCGACTGGATGTGTGACCCGGAAAAAGATCACTCATCACTCTTTTGTGAGAGAAAGCAAAGCAACCATTTCTGATTACTGTCCAGAGATCCACAAGGATCTCCTGAAGGGAGGAAGGATTTTTGCAGTTGGACACACTAAAAATCTAGCTGTCGCTAGTTTCTCCATAGTTCCCTACCCCAGCTACAGATACCTACTCCATCAACATCCCAGATCAAGCACTCAGACGGACCATGTTCCGAGTTGACAGAGTAAAAGTCTCTGTCAAGATGAGAGGAGGCTCAAACTCAGTCAAACTGGATGAACAGTGTTTCCCAAATGTCTAACTTTTATGTGAAGATAAAAAACATTTTATCATCACTATCTTGTTTGTTGTTGCTTGCTTGTTTTTTACATTCCCCCAGATGCAAATTCAAAAAAATGCACTGCATATGTTTTTTATGGGTGTAAACATGTATGTCATGGCAAAATGACTGTATAGGCCTTAATTGTTTTACTGTATTTATTTTGTATTTATTGATTCTGAGACAACAAACTTTTCATTTGTTGTACCTTTTGTTGTATAATGATAAATCAATTTCCTTGATTATTTTAACTATGATAACTAGATTAGGAAATATCGAAAGTAAAGACATGCTAGGAGTCTCCATCAAACATTGTTTGCTTTGCTTTATCTACCAATACAGTTTTCTGTTTTGCATAAATGGTTCAGCACAATATTTTAATGAAGACTGACATTTTTTCCATACCCACATGCCAAATACTCAGCAAATGCATTTATTACATACACTTTACATTAATGTAAATCATCATACTCTCTCTCTCTCTCTCTCTCCAATAAGCTTTATAAGTGTAACAAAGACAACATTGCCAAAGCACCAAGTAATAATGAGATTAAAAGAAAACAATGAACACTTGCTCTGTGCGGGTTTATGACAGACTGTGGAGGTGTGTGTTGTTGCTGTTAGTGTGTGTGTGTGTGTGTGTGTGTTTGTAAGGATGTTGGTGGTGGTGTTGTAGATGCTAGATGTTGTTTTTGTGTGTGTGTGTGTGTGTGTGTGTGTGTGTGTGTGTATTAGTACCAGGACAGTGGAGGGTCTGGGTGGTTGTATAGAGCTCCTAAATTAGACCCTCCAGCACACAGTGAGTGTCAGTATTAGTAGCAGTGCACGACGTTATTCAAAATGATCAAATAATGAAAGCATTTACAGAATTATAACAAAATACAGTATATAACTTGGGTAACTCTTTCTCTCTCTCTGTGTCCAAGAGTGTCATCTACTGGCCATTTGCAGATAGAGAAGGAAAAATAAATGTTTTTCAGTGTTTTTGAATTGACAATATTGAATGGGAAAGTCTTTCACATGTTTTTTTCCCCCAAAATGATTTAAAGAAACATTAACCATACAAGTGGGAGTTCAACTCGATGGAAATTCATCATAAAATAACCCAACAAAGCTGCTGTTAACCAAAGTATAAAAATCCTTAAAATCATGACACATGACATTATTTCAGTTTGCCTACTGTACACAGTATCCTTCAATCATTAACACAAAATAATATTATTTACATAAACATACACAGACATATTTTTTCATGAAAAATTGGACCAGCATTGCTTCCTTAAAATTATAAACCTATAAAATGGCTACAAGTTTACATTCACATTCTTGACATCTTTTGCTTTATAGTACTTTGTTTACTTGTGCTGGTATTGTTCTTATTGTTACTTTTTGTAAATGAATTATGATTTGAGGCTTGTTTGCACAACCTTTTATACAGTACTTGTGTGCATACATTATGGGATGATCAAAGCATTTATAAGCTTAGCGAAGTTTGTTCACTTGCAAATGTCCTCAGTGTTTGCTTTACTTTACATTCAATCTCAGTACTCCCATCAACTTCCTGCAGCTCTATTAAATTGACAGCACACTGCCTTTTCAGCAACAAATGGCAGACAAAGTTCCAGAGTAGCTGGTGAAGAAAGTGGAACATAGAGCAAGATATTTTTTCCAGCAATTGGATTAGACCAAACCAGAGGACAGTTGTAATGTTCCTCCAAGTGGCTGGATGTGCAATCAGGCAATCAGGAGAGTGAACATTTAATATAGATTTATCAGGTGGACGGAAATTTGTAAGTAGGAAAAATGTTGCAAGTCTCAAATAATAAAAGAAGATGAGTTGTTTAATATATAATATAGGGAGAATAAATTGTCAACCTACTGACAAACAGCACAATCAGATCAAGTTAAGACAGACATTTGGCAGCAATGAAATTAGTGATTACCTGGCTATTCATGTAATAGTTAAATATGGAAACAGTCAACTTGAAACACTAGAAGGCCTATAGAGACCCACTTCAAATTTAAGAGCTAGTCAGTGCACACTCAAAGAGCTCATATAAATACAAAGTGCTGGAGCCTACAAATTCCCAATATAAGATTCACTAGTGATTTAGATTTTTTTATGTTCCCAGGTAAACAAGTGGACCCATATCCCCAAAACACATTGCATTCGAGGATTATTCTTTTGGAATTATGGCCTGTGTGAATTTGAGTTGGCCCTGGAACATTATTGTTGGAACATTCATGATACATGATTCATCATACCTCTAAAGGCCAAGAATGTAACAGAGCGCAGTCCTTTCACAATGTGGCTCCTGTCAACACATATTTCTTGCACCTCGCTTGTTATCCAGAGTGCAACATGGGAGATCTCATTTGAGCCACTGAGTTGTTGGCTTTCAGTGGCTGTCAGCAGGGCACCTGGTAAGAGAAGCATAGAAGGAGAGGAGCAGAGGGCATCAGCCCTCAAGGATAACATGACAGTGAGTGCCATGGGCAGTAGGGGATGGTGTTATTGTCATAATGAGACAATGGCTTTTGCTCCCAGCTTCACACAACCTGCTCACAAAGGTCACCTGAGTTCAAGCCTTTACTGGGACAGTTCCGACGGAATGTATGCAATTGTACAATCTTTATTATTCCTCTTTAATTATGTTGTTTTGGGGTCCAGCTTTGTCTGCATTTGGGTTTTCTACTTCTGGCCTCCTGTCTTCTATCTCGGGCCCAATAACAGAAACACATTCCATAGATGAGTTTCTGCTCTTAACACTGTGGCGCCCCTCTCTGGTCATTGTTGGCTTGCCCAGAGCACTCTTTAGCTGCGCCCAGAAAAAGACCTGCTGGTTGACCTGCTGGGGCCACTCCAGGTACGTCTTGTTACTCAGCATCTTCTTAAGCCTGCAGTACTTGCTGGGCAAGGAGCTGGGATCAATGGGCTCCTTCACCACTAGTATGACGTCACTGAAGGTTTTTCCCATTGATCTCTGCTGAGCGAAATACAGCTCATAGTTGCACCAATCACTGTTAATGAAGTGCCGGGAGAGGACGAATATTACCTGTGGAGGGAGAAAGGAAAAGAAAGGGAAAGAAAACATGGATTACAATTGCAATATAATATTTTCTTCCACATAGAAAATGGTGAGCTATGGGATGTACTAGTTAGGGTGATACTTTGTGTAAAAGCATACCTTAGATATTAACAAATAAGTATAGTACTGAAGAAAAACTTTATGTTGTGCATAGGGCTGACCCCGAATAGTCGAAGATTCAATGGGCAGAGCCTTATTCAACTGTCAATCTGTCAGCGAAACAAGGATCATGCCATTTTGGCATTTTTACATAGAACTACCAGTTTTCTTCCAATAAGTTAATATACAGCTTATTACAATATACATTTCAACATTTAATGCTGTAAATAAACATGTAAAACGAAAAAAACTTTCAATGTTTTTGAAGTGCGTGAATAGATCCAAAATTGTAATCTTAACCCTGGGTCGTCTGTGCGCATGTGTAGGCGGAGCGTGTATGTGTGTAGTGGCAGAAGAGGAACGCTTGCTGATGCGATGGAGCCACAGCTTCACTGGCGTTGTGCCGAGTTGTCCGCACCTCGCGGGACTTTCGGATAATTTATCACCGTTGATGAACCACACAAAGAATAATACATCGTTTTTAAACAGCCGGCTACTTGAAATAGACCTGCGAGGAACCGCGACGTGCATGCAGTTGTCGGCAGCATGGCAAACTCTGTACAAGACTGGTACAGGGAGAGACAGGGAGAAAAAATGGTCAACAATAAGCCTCAGTTTAGCTTCTGCTCGCAATCGCTGTGCACAAAAACACACATGCTTCAACTATAGGCAGGACTTGACGATTCTGATTCAACTATATAAATCCTTAGTCGGGGTCAGCCCTAGTTGTGCATTATAATCCTTTTTGAAAATGCCTGAACCCTCAAAACACTCTAAAACACACTGCACTAAATCAATAACATCAGTAGTTTGCCAAGCTGAGCAGCGAATCAAAGGAGCTCTCTCTCACAGTGTCTCTTAGACACTGATTTAACATGCTGCGTCGTTTTATTAACTACCATAAAGGCGGACTGCTGATGACATCTCAAAACTAGAGGTGAAGTCCTGCTCAGATGCTCAACTACCGCCAACTTACAGTGTGGTGTATCAGAAATCTTAAGTGTGCCTCTTGACTGTCTATCATTGTTCATTTGCTAACCCTAACCCTTGAAGAATTCATATCACAAAAGCCATCAATGTTTCTATGTAATGGACAGACACTAGCCTTTGGTGTGAGAGACCTGAGTGTGATTCCCACTGAGACCCATCCACCATTGTGTCCCTGAGCAAGACACTTAACCCTTCGTTGCTCCAGAGGCGTGAGACCTCTGACATGTATAGCAATTGTAAGTCGCTTTGGATAAAAGCGTCAGCTAAATGAAAAAATGTAATGTTCAGGCAAGTTTTCAGATTACTCGAACAGCACAGCAGAAATTCCCAAAGAAGAAGTTCCAGGGGGAAGTCAATGAACACCACCCCCCAACCACGGCGCAATCCTTAATCTTTAGTAACTTAATGTACTCACACACACGCTCTGCTGAGTTAGCAGCAGGTCGAAAGTATAATAGTTCCTCAAAAGATGTTTGCCCACACTGGCTGGTAGGTTTCACTAAAAGTATTTTAGTATTTTAACTACATTTTGGTACCTTACGACTGCTGTCAATGTTGTCAATAATGTTGTCGATGATCCACCTTCCTGGCATGAAGTCCCTCTCATGGATACACAGACGATAGGGGTTCCTGTTCTCCAAGAAGGGCAAGAGCTGGTCCCTCACCCAGTCTGCATCAGAGTGGCTGTAGGATATGAAGGCATGATAAGTAAAAGTCCCTAATTCCCCCGCTGCATTTTCCTTGTGAGCTCTGTATCTGGCCCTGATGATCTGATAAGTGGCTTTAGTGTACCATGGGAGGTCAAAAATATAGCAAATCAGCATCAGTATCAAGATTACCGCTGCAGTGGTCGCAACACTGATGATGATAACTAGTCTGATATCACACGCTACTTGACCTGGAAAGTATTTAGATATGACTGTGTTGAGCAAGGGCTCTGGGTGGTAACACCTGTAATTTAAAGGCCAATCTGTGAGATTAACCTTTCCTTTTGACAATGTGTCCTGGACAAAAGCATGGAGCTCACAAGTGCAATGGTAAGGATTGTTCCCTGCCCTCAGGTGAGACAGTTGAGGCATGTCCTGGAAGGATGCCTTGCTAATGAGACCAAACGAATTCCCATCCAAAGCTAGTGACTGCAGTGACGGACTTTCCCACTTGGATGGGATGAACTTGATTTTATTCCCACTTAGCAGGAGCTCTTTCAGGTTGGTGGCTTTCTCGAAGTACGCCATGTTCAGCTGGTCCAGGTTGCAGTAGGATAGGTCCAAGTAGTGCACTGTAGTGGGCAGACAAAGGAGGGCTTCACTCACAAATTGATTGTGGTGAGCAATAAGCCGAGTGATATTTTTCTGCCAAATGCATTCCTGGCTGTTTTCAACAGATCCCAGTTTGTTGTTGCTGAAATCCAACACCTGCAGCTGCTGGAACTCCCTTGTTAGTGTTGACATATCTTTTAAGCTGGTCAAGTCGTTGTTGTTTATGCTGAAGGTGTGAAGATTTGGCATGATGCCCTTGTAATGACACAGCTGGTTGAAGATGAACTCATTTTTGAGTCGATTATTGGAGACATCCAGAAACTCCACACGTTGCATCTCAGTCCAGGCATCACAGGGCACAGAGTTAAAGTACACATACTGAATAGACAGTTCCTTAATTTTGTTGAACCAAGTGAAGCTCCAGTCAAATCGCAGGATATCAGGATTGCTGATATACCTAACAGAAATAGAGATTTGTAGTGTTATGTATCTGCAAATGAAAAGCAATTAGTCAGTCCCCAAAGGATCTTTTAAAGCATTTTGTGATTAATGAATAGGGCTGGGCAAAAAATGTTCTAACAATAAATAATTTCATATTATTAGGTGCTGAAAATTCTAAAGATAAATTCAAATGATTATTTATTTCGAGTTTTAAAAGAAGGTTTTCGCTCCTAAGAAAAAGTTGAAGAAACCAGATGGTTAAATGTGGTTTTAAACAATTCTTTATGGTTAGATCTTGACAAACATTTGCCAAACAGTGGATCACCTAACAGATCTAAGGTAGAACATTCAAAACTATTATGATAACATAATTTTTCAACAAATATGCATGAGTGAAAATTAAGTTAAATCTTTTTTCAGTCCTTTTTCAAAATAAATATCTTAATCTAAAAATAAAGTGCTAATGTTTGTGATTCAAATACATTAAATCAAACATTTATTGAACATTTGTTATATTGTTTTTGAGGAAAATTGTAAATACTGTAGTACACTCTAAGTGAACAACAAACATACAGTATATTATGTAAGCCTATTCTCTACAAATAATGTAATGTAATAACTGTTCACCGTGCAGTGTCAAGTCTACCATCATTCTGTAACATCATGACCAGCAAGTTGTAACATAATGAAAGCAAGTGCTAAATTTCACACAAAATTAATTATATTTCACCCCATGCACATGATGCCCCAAAGTAAGAAGATACTTACCAAAGATCCAATTTATCCAGTACCAGATCTGTGATGCTTGAACCTGCTCCGCTATCAACAAATGTGGGTGATCGGGCAAAGTCTATGTACTGTAGTCTCAACCTTTTGATAGGAGTGACCTGTAAGTTAATTAAAGCCATCCTCATGAGGTTCTCATTGAATTTACCTCTGTGAAAGATGAGCTGATGGGCTGTGATGTATTTCAAATCCCGAAAAATGTCCTCCTCTCCCATGTAGTACATGAACTCAAAGAGGTTGCGGAACTGGATTACACTGAAGGTCTTGTTGGCAAGGTCACGTAACATAAGAGGGAGAGCTTTTGGCTGTTGATCTATGGCCATATCAAAGCTCATCTGCATTGTCTGGATGACTTCTAAACTTCCAGGCTCGTAGTAACTTAGATTGGAGGAACATTTGATGGCAAAACCTAGTAACTTCATGTTTTTCAGTGACTGAAAATCCGCTTTCTTTAGTCCCATCACCAAAGGGCCACCCATAGACAGAACTTGGAGTTTGACAAATTTGGAGAAACTGTCAGCTAAAGTGGCATGTTTGTAAATGTTGTTGGACATGTAGAGTTCTTTTAGATTCAAGAGAGGAGTGAGAGCTGTGGCAGGAATTTCCTGCAGTGAGTTATTAAAGATGTCAAGATACTCCAGTAGTAGGTTGTTTTTAAAGGCATCCTTGTCAATATGTGAAATGTTATTGTACTGCAACTTAAGGATGCGAAGCTGAGGGAGACGGAGGAAGTCGCTCGCATGGACAGCTTGAAGCTTATTGTAGGAGAGATCTATGTCTTCCAGTGTGGATGGAAATTGTCTCCATGGGACGCTGTTGAGCTGTCTTCCCAGACAGTCTGCTGAGCGGCCTGAGCTGTAGATGCGACAGGGTCCCTCGTCAGTGTTAGTGTTGGGGGACGGAGATGGAGTTGGGGATGTGAGTGCTCCAATAAGGAGAGCACTAAAATTAACCAATTTCCAAATCATTGTGATAGACTTGAAAAGAAAAAAGAAAAAGAAAGATTAAATGTTGGCATTTTTATTCTTTTTTCCAACAAAAAAAGTAACAGGACATAGACTCAAATTTGTTTACTTTTTCTTTCTATGTGCTTATTGAGGACAAGTTTTGAAAAATGTATATATTTAGTACTTTTACTTTGGATATGTGTTTACTGCTATTACATATTCACATTTAGAGGTAATTAAGTACATCAGGTCTGTCACTTTGTCTTTCAAGTCACCCTAACCAAGTATTCACCATAAACGTTCATGAATAATGTTATGGGTACTTGCATGTCCTTAAAAGGACGGTGAATTTCCACAATGTGACTGTGTAAACTGATTTATGTCGCTACAACCTGAGTAATACGCACACCCACATCTACACACAGTCACTCTCTTTTTCTCTCTGTGAACCTCCTCTCAGTATAAGAGAAGACATAATATCTTGATCTGGGCTGTCATTGCATCAAATAAAAGTTAAAGCTCACAGAACGGAGGATATGCAGTTCATTAGATCGCATCATCTGTGCTGGTTTAAACTGTAAAAAAAAAGTTAATAATAAGGAAATAAGCAAATCTTAACCTCTGTGCAACCTCTACCAGATCCTTCATTAATCATTTCCCATTAAATCATCAATGTGTCTTTGCAAAATAAATTGACAATGAGTCTTTTCTGTAAGGTAAGTGAACCTTGCAAGAAACATAGTAGACAACAAGCTACACACGTCACTCTATCATCATGTGCTGTCAGGTGACAAATCTGCAGTGAATGTAACATCCAACTTGTCCCTATGAAATAGACTCTTATTTTACAACAGCAGTTATTTTCCTCCTGCCTCCTTGAATTGAACACAGCACAGTACTCACCCTCTTAGGACTAGTTTCCTCCTCAAAGCTGTTAATGTAGACTCTTTCAAATCCCTTGAACATTTATTAATATTGCTGGTCCAAGGCTACACACTGTTTTGGCTCTCACGTAAAAGAGTCGTCAAGCTTTATAACTGTCACAGTCTGCTTGTCAGTCCCTCCCTCCAGCCACATTCCCACTTCCTCAAACACATTCATTGCCATTCTCGTCCCGTCCACTGATGCCCTGTGACTTTTTCTCCTGTCCAGGTCATCTCACTCCCACATCCAGCCCTTCCTACCCTGCAAAAATCCCTTTCCCTCCAGTCTTTGTCACCTGACATTCCCCGCCCACCCATTTGCATTTCCCTCATCAACCCCACAAATACTTAACCGGCACCTTCCCAACCATACTCTGCCATTTCATCCGAGTTGCCTTCTTGGTTTTCCATCTGTATTTGAGTTTCTGCTACCTGTAACTGCCCGTTACTGTCTGCCTGTCTGTAGCTGCTTGTAAGCTACACTGCCATAAATCACTGAAGACATCCTGCTGTCTCCTGTCTGCCTTTGAATCCTTTCCCGGTTACCCTGCATAACCAGTTGTGACAATAACCCCCTTTATAAACAGTGAGCAATAAGGAATGCGATGGATTGTGATCCACCATGTGTCCATTGGCCATCACTCCTTCCAAGTCCTCTAAATGTCTCAACGATAACATGTTATTCTAGATAAATGTAAGACAGCAACTGAAAGATCATTGAACTGATCAACGTCACCATGTGTTCAGTGTGGCTACCCTCTTCCTTCCATCACATATAAACCTTGTCCGTGTGAGAAAGCAGCAGCAGTGATGCTGCTTCATTGAGGAAACCAGAAACACTCTTCAGCTATCTAATCTGGTAAACACTGGACAGCTGTTCCTGGAAATTGACAGTAGATTAGATAAACATTAATACTATTGACATAGTGAAACTCCTCGCATGAAAGGCACTGTCGTAAAAAGTATGTTGCAATATCACTGTCACGTAACGTCATGCTTATCCAAAGCATGGAACAAAGGAAAACACAAGTTCGGACCCAATCACCAAGGCAAAAGTTCAGATTCAGTAGATTTAAAAAAATTTTAAAAAAGGTGAAAAATTTACAAGGAGGAGATTAGGCAGTCAGTGTCAAAAACTGTGGAAGCAGTCCAACAACAGGAAACAAATCGAAATTCGAATATCATGCATTAATCCCAATGTAAGCGCATAAGATCAGACCATACACTGGAACACAATAGAATGTTGATTGAACAGATGTAGAAAGACTATAAATGAACTTGCAATTAAAAGGAGAAACACACTGACTTATACATACCAAAGGCACAGGAGAAAACAATCAGGGAAGAGTAACTAACTAAGAGGAAAACGAGCAGGAAGGGAAGTCACCAGAGAGAAGAAGAACATACTAAAATAAAACAGGAAACAGAACAAGTGAATAAATGATGCAAGAAAAGCACAACATGGAGACAGAAATTGAAATACAAGCGACACTGAGGAAGGACTTACAAAAATAACAACAGGAAACACCAAACCAAAACCCCATAAACAGAACCATGACAATCACTCAATATCCAAGCTTTGAGAATCTCTGTTCAAAATGCATGAATGTTTATAGCAAAACCGTCTTTTGCACATAACATATACATTGAGATGTGTTTAGGGTGTTAATGGTAGTTATTACGTTTTGAGGGGTAAGTCCACGTCTAACTTTGATGCAGCCTACGTCTTTGTGTTCTAGGACTACCATTTCTTGTGTCATCTTCAATGTGGGATGGCCCAGAATCGCACCGGTGGGTCCTTAAATCAAGTCTTGCAGCAATCTGTTCCAATGTCAAGTCTCACGTCTACGGTAGAGGTCTGCGATATTGACAAAAGATTATATCTAGATATTTTCTGGGATTTTCTCAATAATAACAATTAGAAAATATTTGGCATCCTTTAAAAATGTGTTGTGTGTAAAAGTAGAGTGTGAGCGTACCTGGTGTGTGTGTTATTGAAGGAGGAGATGGCGTGATTAATGTTTGTGCTGGTGAAATGCAGCGGAGCAAAGCATGGAGCAATGCAACGGGTTAGCCATTAGTTTAGCAGTAATGTACAATGTTAGTTACAATGGCCAGTGAATGAAGACTGCAGCTTCTCAAGACTTAAACAGACCTCCCGTGTGTTGCTTGCAAATTATTGAAGAAAGAATGAAGGGGTCAGCCCCGAAGATAGCATCAACTGCTGTTGCTAATAGTTACTATATATCAACCTTGAGTTCTGTCATAGCTTTTGTCTGTGACTTTGATTCTGTCATCATCATTGTAGCGGCGTTTGAACCGGAGTGTGTGCTGGTATCTTGACTGGTTCCGGCCTGTCAAGGACAGCCGACTCCAGAAGCTTTTCATAATCTTCATATTGCGTGCGGTGGTAAGTTTGTGGTTTTTAACGGCAACAATGCAAGTGAGGTTCATCCACGTCTAGCTATTCAATCTAATCACATAACGTTAGACTGAAAGGCTGGTGGTGTGCGGGTTCTAACTCCTGGCGCTGATTGTTCACTCATTATTAACTTCGGTCATGAATTTTTCGGCAGCTATTGCTTGTTTAACTCCAGCGTAGTGTACTGCATGCATGACACAGTGACTGCGCAGAGGAGTTTTTGATAAGTGCAAATTGACTGATGTAGCCTAAGTGATAATGTCTCCTCTCACATCATTAAAACTACAATTAAGATATTATAGTAAGTAGATGACATATGACACACCGTTAGTCTACAGCTCTGAACGGCAGACATTCTGGTACTATCAAGAATCAAACTGGTGACCTGTTGTCACCAGCATGTCTGTTTAAACAGTGAGTCCTAGCCATTCTTTGAAGTCTTTTCCCTGTTTACAAAGCATCTGGTCATGAAAAATAAATGGCAGCACTTAGGCGAATTCCTCCATTTCACAAAGCAAGGGAGGTCAACAAAATCTGTGTGTTCCTAACCTATATCTTCTAGAGTTTTGAGTTCATGACCTTGAGTTAGTTTGACATTAACCTGCTTGGCGAGAGTTTCTCTATCAGGATCCAATGTAGAGAATTTAGTGGATGACTCATGTATCACTTTCCAAATGCAAAAATCTTCCTATTCTGTGGTTTATGCAGCCTTATAGGTGAAATAAATGTCCATAAATATTCAGGTAATGCTGCAGGCTGTTCTCTATTTCAACCTTGAGTATTATTCTCCGCAGCTTCTGAATTGAGGTATGTTGCTATCACTTCAGTGTCAACAGGGTTTAATATTTCTTGGTTGTAAAACACATGTGGCTCAATGTGTATACATACAAAACATGGCTCAGTCAATACTTTTCACATGCAGGTTGGCCCACTGCCAACCTCATATAGTACGAGCTGGAAAGATATCTGGAAACACTGCCTGGCAACAATGGCATTGTTCATCTTTGGACCCAGTTGAACAGGTTTGCAACGAAAAGATGCAACTTGACACTTAATATTCCTGAGTCAGTCATGTGTTTAGAAAAAGGAAACTACACAAGTGTAAATGTTTCAGTGTGACAGAAAGTCTCATTGTTTGAAAGGTACACTTCCTGTCCTATAAGTGACACACAAAGACAGATAGACTTTTCACCAATCAAAGATATTGTGAAAGAACAATCTTAAATCTCTCAGTCAAAATGATTAGCTAGCCAGCCCCTAGAGCAAACAGAAAAAAGTATTTAGTCTTTGTAAACAGTTTGTGTTGGGATGGAGCACATGTTATGCATCGGTGGCTCAGAAATGAATGCTGTTAAACATGGGACTTTGCATTGCTTTTAAAGCTTTGGGCCAAATGAAAAATCAAGTTTAGCTATGACGTTCTCTCAAAAAACTAACTTCACAGTAAAACATGATGTTCTAAAAACATACACACCACAAACACTGAGCTGGGACAGATAAATATTAAAATAAAAAGGAGTTGGATAATCAGTGTTTAACATACACTCACTGCCCACTTGATTAGGTACACCTTTCTAGTACCGGGTTGGACCACGTTTTGCCTTCAGAACTGCCTTAATTCTTCGTGTCATACTTTTAACAAGGTGTTGGAGACATTCCTCAGATACTTTGGTCGATATTGACATGATAGAATCACGCAGTTGCTGCAGATTTGTCAGCTCTACATCCATGATGAGAATCTCCCATTCCACCACATCCCAAAGGTGCTCTATTGGATTGAGACGATTTGAGCTTTGTGACACGGTGCATTATCCTGCTGGAAGTAGCCATCAGAAGATGCAATACTCAGGTAGGATGTCGCGTTTAAACAATGCTCAGTTGGTACTAAGGAGCCCAAAGGATGGATCCGTGCTTTCATGTTATTTATGCCAAATTCTGACCCTACCATCTGAATGTCGCAGCTGAATCGAGATTCATCAGACCAGGCAATCTTTTCTAATCTTCTGTTGTCCAATTTTGGTGAGCCTGTGTGAACTGTAGCCTCAGTTTCTTCCCCATTCTGATGCTCGGTTTGAACTTCAGCAAGTTGTCTTGTCCACGTCTATATCCCTAACTGCACTGAGTTGCTGCAGTTTGATTGGCTGATTAGCTATTTGTATTAACAAGCAATAGAACAGGTGTAACTAATAAAGTGACCGGTGAGTGTATAAAGAAATCAGTCATCATATGAGCTGTGTTTCTGGCAGTGTGCTGTGTTACTCAAGAATTCCTGTGAAGGGGGCCCATTCTGTGAGGGACTGCCTCTCTCTTGCAGGGGAGCTTTCATCTATGTATATGCTCTGGTGAGCAAAGGTCATGATAACATTCACCTTCTCTATCAGAGCAGCACACAAACCAAATACACTTACTTCATTGCAAGTTATACATCTAACATTGTTTCTAGACCAAGCCAATTTGGATAGAATAAGGCAGGTGAAGTAAATAATGATGTTAAGTAATTTAATTCTTAAGCATTAGTGTTTAATTAAAAGCAATTTAACAGTGTGTGTGAGGACCCGAGCAAATCTGGCCCAGCCACAGTGGCCATTTTAGAATATCACAGACTACATTATTAGACTTCACTTCGCTGTCATCAT